AATATATTTTTCCTCGAAAGGACTTTTTAAAACCAAACCTGGCCCCAAATCTATCTCTCTGCCCCAAGCAAGAGCTAGGCCCATACAAATGCAAATGTAAAACCATCAGAAAGTTGAAGCCAGAGCAATCAAGAAGACAAAAGAAAAGATCTGCACACCCCACCCAAACTCTAGGAATCAGCCCTATCACCTGGGAAGCAGGATATGATAATAGAATTAAGCCACAGATATCAAGACCTAGACAAACACTCAGAAACAGCCTCAAGGTTCATGCCACAGGAACAGGAAACTTCCAAACAAAAGGCTAGGGGGGGGGGGTATAAAACCTACTGCCCATGTGCTCAATCTCTCTCTTCTTTTCTCCTCTGTACTTTCCTGAAGACCATCTTTCTGCAATAAACTGTAACCTTCTTCCCAAAGCAGTCACCATGTTTGCTTATTTATTCCCGGCTTGGATGAACCAGGATGAAGACTTTACTTCTATCAATTTGGCACCCCAGATGGGACTCCAAGCTAACCTCTCCAATGGACTGAGACTGGTAAGCCCCATCTTGCTGGCAGCAGACCCCCTTGTGTCTGTGGATGGGTTTCCCAGGCCTTGCCCATGTGGAACTAGGGTAGTAAAGGGAGTTTTGAGAGTTTGAGCTCAAGGGCTGCTTTGGAAAGAAGGTGAAGGTGAGTACCTCTAAATTTTAAGTTTAAAGTCCAGGGGAACAAAGAAAGTGTGTGTATTTCTGTTTGGGTGAGTCAGAAGACTTTTTTTTCCCCAATCAGTTGGATTTTGCTGCTTCTGGTCTTTCCTAGCCGCAGAAAGGATCTGTTTAATTGGCAGAACCTGGACAGCATGGGGGTTGGCCAGAGCACAGAACCTTTTGTTAGGGAAAAGGGAGAGACTGTGTGAAAATGAAATGGAATGAGTGAATGAAAGAATTGGATTTGGGCAACTAGCTGGTAAGGCCCTGTAAGCAAAGCAAAGTTAGGAAATTAAGCCTCAAGAAGGGAGCGGCCACTTACCTCCGAGAGCAAGTGGAGGTGCCCACGGACATTAGAGGCGTCCGTAAACAGTGGTGTGAAGCCGGCCGGTCGAAGAGTAGCCCGTACCTTCTAACGAGGAAACCGGAAGTGTCTCTGCAGACCCCTTTTTGGTCTGAAAACGTGGCAGGATCCCTCAGAGGAGCTGTCCCACGAACTCTGTGAGGGATCCAGAGTGCTCCATGAGTCCCATTTTTACCGGACTCACAAAGAATCGTGGTGGAAGAAAGAAGTCTCAAAAGGAGGCTTTGACTGTGTAGTGCTCTTTAGCGTCAAGGGGAAATCCCATCATATAAGAATGGGAGATTCCAATTCAAGGGCTGAGGTAGGTTTCCCAGTTGAAAGCTTGCTCATAGCCTGGGACAGGAATCAGCTTCCTGTCCAGGCCGGAATGGAAAAGAGGTAGGTAAAGAAACTATATGAAAAAAAAAATAGACTTTGCTTAGGGCCTTGCTGGGAAACCAATTTGGCTAAATAAAGGTACTTAAAAGGGAAAATAAGAAATAGTGATTCTCTCTCTCTCTCTCTCTCTCTCTCTCTCTCTCTCTCTCTCTTTCTCTATGCAACCACGTGGTATGTTTAAAATATGTGCCTTCCCTAACTTGAGTTATCTGAAATTTATGGTGGGAATGACTAGGATGTGTAAAACTAAGACTTCTGTTCTCTTGTCTTTGTGTATATATGTTTGTCAGTCTGTGCATGAGAGGTAAATGTGACTGTTAACTGTTTCAAATCCAAAGGAAAAAGAATTTTAAAGTCTGCTAGAAATTCTGCTTAAAATAAGCCACAAAAAGGAAATACCTCACTCTGTTTGTCTGGCCAACAAACAGAGTGAAGAAAAAAAAATGTGTTTGTTTGTTTGTTTTCCTCTTTCTCTCTGTGTACTCTCAAGAACAGCCTTAAGTTACCAGGAGGGATTGTTTTAAGTTTATCTGTTGGAAAAGTTTCACTTGCATTTACTGTATGTGTTTTATCTATCCTTTTCCTGAAAAATGTGTGTCTATCTACAAGAGCCTTTTGAAACTCAAGTCTGCTTGTGTGGGGAAATAATTTTTTAAAGTTACTTTTCTTATCCTATCACTTACTGGTGAAACTACTATGAAGCTTTCTGAAACATAAGCATTTTCCAATCTCGAAAATAATGTTATCTATTTTAGAATAAATGTTAAAGGCAGATTCTCCTGCCCTTGGCAAGTTGCACATATTAAAATATTAGGCTTTTAAAATTTGGAGTTTTCAGCATTCTCAAACTGTCTGCAAGCTACCCCCCTTCCAATTTTTTTTCCTGCCCTTTGTTCTCCATACCTTTTGTCTGCCTCTCCTGGGAGAGTCCACCCAGAAATGGGGGGGGGGGGGAGAGACCTTGTTCTTGTATCTTTCAGCCCTGAAACCCTCTCCCAAGCCTTTGGAAGCAGAACACACAGACCCAGATGCTGCCTCCATCCATTTGAGCCATGGAATTGAGTTTTGAATCCAGCCATCCACTAAAAAGCCACCATGCAATCTAAGTTGAACATCTTCCCAAGTCCTACCATTTCCCCAGATGCCTGTGAGAGCTGTAGAAGGAAGGATTCTTGCTGCCATATGAAGCCTCAGAAGAGAAAATTAAGACTGTGGGGGGAGGGTGGAAACTCATTGTAAACTTTTCTTTCTTGCCCCATTTGTATTGTAACAAGCCAGTTGAATGTATTAATGGAGAGATGGCATTTAGGAATAGGTGGCAGAACAAGTACTGAACACCTTGGACTTCTATCTGGTGGGAGGGAAAATTTATCCAGAATGTTTGTGTTGACTATTTTGTAAAAGTGCACACACACACACCATTCAGAATCATACTTGAGTCTATCCCCTCCACCTACCTTTAGTAAAGTTCCTCAGGCTGATTTTTGCTCTATTGCACCAAAGCTTGGGATCAACTTCCAACAGATAACAAGGGGGAGGGAACTAGGCCCCCTCAGGTGATTTGCAATTTATATGCCCTGACTAAGGAAGCAACAGGAAAAATCCCAAACTTCAGCCCTGAATATCTTGCACTGGTGAGCCCAGATTGGGATTTCTAGAGCTCAGTATGTGCAATTTAAAGACAATTTAATAGCCTGGCATACTGGCTAACCTCAATTGAGCATTACAAACCTGGATGCACTGAATTAAGAGCTAAGGCAGGAAACAACCCTTGAAATTGGGCAGCCAGTGGTCATGTATTAAGGAAAACCATGGCTGTGAAGAATTTTGGGAGGTATACAAACCTGACTGAAAGTTAAAGGTGATATCCAACATTTGAAAATGATTGGCACAGAATATTGGACACTATAAATTTCTTTTCCACCTAACAAAATTTTGCCCTGCCTTTTAGAACTTTATGGGTGCAAGCTCCCCTTTTGGGAGCCACTAAAGGGATCTTTTTCTGCTGCCTCCATTAATGTCTTATTATTATTATTATTTTGCTTAACAGTTTAAAAGCTTGCCTACCAAGTCTCCCTGACCAGATCAATTTTAATGTTGTGCCAATAAGTGTGTCATAAATTTACACACTTAAGGCACAAAGCGGGGATTGAGGGAAGTTAGCCCAGAGAAGGAAATAGTAAAAAGGGCAGAAAAATATATTTTTCCTCGAAAGGACTTTTTAAAACCAAACCTGGCCCCAAATCTATCTCTCTGCTCCAAGCAAGAGCTAGGCCCATACAAATGCAGATGTAAAACCATCAGAAAGTTGAAGCCAGAGCAATCAAGAAGACAAAAGAGAAGATCTGCATACCCCACCCAAACTCTAGGAATCAGCCCCATCACCTGGGAAGCAGGATATGATAATAGAATTAAGCCACAGATATCAAGACCGAGACAAACACTCAGAAACAGCCTCAAGGTTCATGCCACAGGAACAGGAAACTTCCAAACAAAAGGCTAGGGGGGGGTATAAAACCTACTGCCCATGTGCTCAATCTCTCTCTTCTTTTCTCCTCTGTACTTTCCTGAAGACCATCTTTATGCAATAAACTGTAACCTTCTTCCCAAAGCAGTCACCATGTTTGCTTATTTATTCCTGGCTTGGATGAACCAGGATGAAGACTTTACTTCTAACAACACCCACACCATTTCAGGCTCCCATTTAATTTTCACATAGCATGGCTCCTTTGTCCTTTACACCTGTGTCACAGAGTGCAATATCAGATAGCATAACATAAGCTGAGGATAAACATTTGAAAAAAAAAAAAGTCCATCACCTAATACTTCTATAGGCCTCTATATTCCATTCTCTCATTGGAATACAGGAGATTTCTACTTTTTTTGCTTGCAGAAAATATATTTTTCTAATTAACATACAGTAAGAGAAGCATCCCTTCTCTCACCTCCCCCTCTACATCAGTAAAAATTAGGGTTATGAAAAATTGGCGCCTCCTTAAATCCCACAATCGGCCCTGTAACCTTCTTTGCCCACACCAAACATGGCAGCTCAAGCATTCTTATTACTATAGGGGAGGAGCCTGTCCTAACAACGACAAAGAGGATGCCTCCCCGTGTTGCTTGTTGCCCAAAGAAGGCATAGTGGCTTTTCCGACTTTTTGAATGCCAGTACTAAACATGGAACCTCACATTCTTTTCCGGTCCTTGCCATCCAAATCACAACCGTTTTCTCGGAGTTATGGCCACTGCAGCTCTTTATTGCCTCCCCAAGCTAGGCCCACCTTTCCTCTGCCGTCGCATTAGTAACCAGGGTTTTGCGTCCTGAAGAAGTAGCCCGAATCAAAAATGGCGTCGCAACGAACCCTCCATTCACCTGCCCACAAGTAACATCCCGCTTCTGCACCTCCCTCTTCTTCTTGCCCACAGAAAAGATGGGGGCGGAGCGGGGGTGGAGCATCCTGTTAACTTCCATCGGGGTTGGATGGAGGGTGGGGGGAGCGACTGTCGCCAGAGGTCAACGCTTCCTCACGGCGACCCCTTGACTAGTTTCTCGGGGGGGGGGGAGACGTTCGCCTCCCTGTCGCCGTCCGTCGAAGGATCTGCCCTTCACTAAAATGTAGGCGCCGATAAGTTGTGAGTACTGTAGACGTTGGCAACGGGGGGGGGGGGGATTGAACGGACAGATCCCACGCCTCTAGTTAGCCTATCGGGCAGGGGGCGAATAGCAAGGGGAAGGGGAAGGCAGGCGCCTGGGTTGCTGGGGGGGGGGGAGGAGTTAGGGAGAGAGTTTACAGACTCATAACGCCTCGAGCCCGGATTCCGGGTTCCCCAAAAGTGCCTGTGCGAGAGACTACGATCCCTGCAAGCTACTTCTATTCCCAAAGCACTGTAGGGAACAGCAAGGAGATCCTGGTTTATAGAAACTGGGTTAAGATCCATCAATATCTCCTCCCCACCCCCAATTCTGTTCCGAGTCTAAACAAAAGTTGGACTTCAACCGGCTGGGAAATCCAGAGCTGGCCAGGTTAGCTGGAGGTTAGTCGAACGGCAGCCCAGGAGATCTGGAGGGCTTTTAATGGGGACAGGGATGGTCCAAAAACTCTTTTCGGCATTTTCAGCTTAGACGAAGGACTCGGAGGGTCCTTTTGTTTGGAGTCAATAAGAAAAGGGGATGAATTTCTTTGGATAGAGGTATGGGTGGTCACGATCCCGGAAGTTGGTTTGTATTTTTTAAAAAAGATTTTTATCTTGCCCATACAATTCAAGGTGAGGAATGTACCTAAACAGTCTTCCTCCACCTGTTTTCCTCATAACAACAACCTTGTGAGGTGGCTTGGGCTGAGAGACAGGAGGGAACTGGCCCAAAGTAACCCAGCTAGTTTTTCATGTTTCTCCTGGTTTCTAGGCCATCATTGGTTTAAAACTAGCTCAATCTCCCCCCCCCCCCCCGTTAATGACAAAAAAAGCATTCACCAGAGTTTCTCAGCCTTGGCAGCTTGAAGATGTGTGGACTTCAAATCCCAGACATGGGGATTTAGTGGAGTTGAAGTTCACACAGGCAAGAATTTCTGGGAGTTGAAGTCCACACATCTTACTAAGGTTGAGAGCCATTGGCATAAGCATAAGCAGCAACGGTGAAGTGCCAAAGTTCCAAAGGGAGACTGAGAATTTGAATTCTCAAAAAAAAAAAAGGCATAAATGGTCTGACTTTGTTCTTTTCTCAAATATTTTTTCTATTGCTTCAGCTTGGAAAAGGAGCAGATTGCCACCTCAACAGGCTGCTAAAGAAAGAATGTTTAGGCAAAATTAATACTTCGTGTGCATATTTATTTAGATGCTATTCAAAATTTTTGTCCCCTTTCAGTTATTTTTCCCCTCCTTCAATTTACATAACTGGAAGACAGCAAAGATTGCACTTCATACATTATTCTCTTTTTTCTTGTGCATCTGTTAGAGAAGATTGTGGTTGGTGTAAAGGTGAATATCCTGAATAGGAAATAGGACTTCAGGCTTCAACTTTTGAAAGAAAAAGAGCTGCTTGGTATAAGATGAGAAACAGTTAGCTGAATAGCATAAGAACCTCTGGGCACTTTCAGGGATTTGCTTCCTGCTTCAGTCTCGTAAGAACAAATCTGAACAATGTTGTGGGTGCCCAAAAGACTAGAACCCTTAATTCCATTCAAGAAAGTGAGGAATTGAAACCTGATAACCTTTTCTCCTATATCACATCTCTCTATTGTCCTGCTTCTGTAGAATATACCAAGAATTTCCTGAATCAACTCATCTACCATAGTCAGGAACAAATAAATCCTGGAGATTTCCTACATCTATGTTTAATACTATCTGCTAGTGCAGGAAATCTAATGGCATTGACAAGAATTGAGATGTTTCCAAAAACTGTTGATTTGTTTCCATTGTTTGAAAATAAAAGCATTAACTTCTGCCTTAACCTTAATTAAACCATCCTGAATTATTACACATTGCAGCATGAGAAGGAACTCTCGGATTAACCCAACAATTCCATATGCAGAGCTTTCTACAATATTTTCCTGGGCTTTTCAATGAATTCCCTGAAGTTGTTTTTTATGCAGATACTTTTAAAAAGTTGTTTAATGGTCCGGAAGACCAATTGTTTTAATTATGATGACTTTAGAAAGGATGCCTTACAGCCTGTAAAGCACCACTGGCCATCATAAAATCCTCCCCCCCCCCAGATCACATGGCAACATTTCCAATCTTGGCAACTGGTTCACATTTAAAATTGGCTGCAATGTCCTGAAGTCATGCAACTGTGATTTGCAGCAGTTTCTGGCAAAAAAAAATCACATTTGTGAGAATGGATTAACAACCACTACAAAATCAGTAAAAAAAGCTTCAGTCCCACAGATGTGTTGACTTATGACAGGAATGACTTACAACCAAAATTTTGTTCCCAATTGCGATAATAGGTCGAGGGCTACCTGTACACTGGGAAGAGGGGGCTGTCCTTATTGGGGATTTGAACTCAACAGCCTGAGAACCCTTCAGCTCTAATTCTCTTCTTACTGCTCTCTAGAAGTACATTGGGTAGATGGAGAGCCATGGTGAAGCATGGCCAGAGGGCCAACATTCCCAGGAAGCTCCAGGAGGTGTTCGGATGGCCCCTGGAACTGAGGAAGAATGCGCCGTTCTCTACTCAGATACTGAGGACGACCCCTCACTCTTGATGGTCAATGGCGCAGGCCCCCGAGCCCCCTTCCATTGCTCTGAATGTGACAAGAGCTTCCGCTATCGTTCGGACCTGCGCCGCCATTTTGCCCGACACACTGAACTGAAGCCTTTCCAGTGCCCTCACTGTGTCAAGAGCTTCAAGCATTCTTTCAACTTGGTGAACCACATCCGGAGCCACACGGGGGAGCGCCCCTACCGCTGCACCATGTGCCCCAAAGGCTTCCGGGACTCCACGGGACTTCTTCACCACCAGGTGGTCCACACTGGGGAGAAGCCATACTGCTGTCATATCTGTGAGCTCCGTTTCTCCTCCCGCAGCAGTTTGGGCCGCCACCTCAAGCGCCAGCACCGGGCATCACCTGCCACCACAGCCCCTCAAGCGCCTACCCCGCGCTGCCTGGCCTGTGGCAAAGAGCAGAGTCCCTTGGGACACCTATGTGCTGCCGGCCGAGGCCGGGCTGCCCCTTTCGGTTGTGGGGCCTGCGGGCGGCACTTCCAGTTAGCCTCTGAACTTCGCCGCCATTGGCTGGCTCATACTGACATCAAACCCTTTAAATGTCCGGACTGTGAGAGAGACTTCAATGCTGCATCCCTCTTGGAACGCCATAAACTCACTCATGCCAAGGACAGGCCCCTACCATGCCAGCTTTGCTCCAAGAAAGCTCAGAAGAGGGATGGGAGGATGCTGGAACTGAAGGGTGTGGAAGAGCAGCTGAAAGGAGGTGAGCAGCAGGAGGAGGAGACTCAGCGGCACAGCAGAGGCTGTCCATCCTGCCACTCTCCTGAAACTCGCCCCCCGGACACACTGTACCAGTGCGAGTGTGGAACATTTTTTGCCAACAGCAACACCCTCACCGCTCATCTGACTGCCCATGGAGGCGAGCCCTCTTTCACCTGTGGCATATGTGGCCAGCCCTTCGTGAACTTGCAGGCCTTGGAGGAGCACCAGCTGAGCCACGCTGTGTCCACAGCACCACTACAAGGCCCAGGCAGCGAGCTAGAACGCCACCTGTTGCCCCAGCTGGATCTCCGGACAGTCCCCACTCAGCCTGGCAAGAAACTCTACAAGTGCAGCGAATGTGAGAAATTCTTCCGCAGTCCCCGAGATCTGGACCGCCACGTCTTGGTACACACCGGTGAGAAACCCTATCAGTGCACTGAATGTGGCAAGTTCTTCCGGCATGAATGTTACCTGAAAAGGCACCGTCTGTTGCACAGCGGTGAGCGTCCTTTCAAGTGCACTGTCTGCCACAAGGGGTTCATCACCCTGAGCAACCTTTCCCGCCATCTCAAGCTGCACCGAGGGATTGACTAGGAGGGCTGTCCTGCTCTCCTAAGAATAATTTCCCCCAGCACTGCATTCTTCTACCTCCATCCCACAGTGGAAGCCACAGATGTTCCCGTTTTGGAGGTAGACTTCTGCCTGATGTTCCCGAACTCTGCCTGCCCTCACCCTCCTTCCTGGTTCAGTACTTTAGGGCAAGGACTTGAAAGGATTAAAATATATATTATTATTATTATTATTATTTACCAATGTTCCACTACTGTTAATAGAATACATTGCACATGCTTGGCAAATTATAAGGTTTCAGTGTGTCGGGTAGACAGGAATATCTCCCTGCCTATTGACCTGATCGGTTCCAGAAAGTTCTTGATTTCAGAACAGGAATATTCAGAGCCATGCAAAGAAGTTATGACAGGAAAAACCCCTTGGTTTAAGTGTCTTAACGTCTGAAGGTGCTTCTATGTGGGTGAGCTTAACCAGTGCTGAAAATACTTTGGCCAATAATCCTGGAGAGCTTCGGGGCAGAGCCATTTTCTCTCTCTCCAGAGAATGAGGAAACTTTGCTGGATATTTAAAGAGGCAGAGTACTACTTCACCCTTCAGTATTTCCCAATCACTTTAGTCTTGTACTAAAAGGCAGCACAACTGGCCAAAAAGATAAATATGCACAAATCTAACTTGCATCATTCTTTAGTTTGTGTAGTTTTCTTACTTTTTCCTTTTGCCATTCTGTTCTTGAATTGGTAGGACTACAGTTAGATGTACTTCCTGTCCCTCAAAGTAGAGAAATCTTATGTCCCTCATAATAACCATTATCCCCAAGGTTAAATAAGGGTAACATGTTTGTGACATAACTGTACACATTGTAATTTATTGGGAATCTCCAAAAAAGTTCAACTTGATTTAGAGGAGCCCGCTAATAGAAGATTTGAGAACCTTTACTTCACGGTATATATGCTACAAAAGGGATATTAAGTATTGAAAAATAATTCACACCACTGATTTAAAAAAAATCACAAAACTTAACAGCCTCTCTCTTCCACCCTCCCCTCCAAATGTTAACTTTTTATATTTATTTTATTTATCTCCTTTTTCCTACAGCTCCCACCAGCATTTCTAGCACATACTGCCCAAATTTTCTTCCCAACAATAGTTTTATGAGGGAATTTGGGGTTGCTTGAGGAGGGTGAATTGTGTTTCCTATTTTTAATCTTGCAATATAACTTGTTTTCTCCCATTTATCAGCCAGAAGAATGTTCATTTGGGTCACCTCTGCTATTCCTTTCTCAAAACTGTGTAAAGGCCAAACAGATGCTTTTGCTTTGGTGTGAAGTTTCAGGGCAGAGAAACTTGGTATTTAATAGAAGACAATGTTTAACAAAATAATTTAAAGAGTATTTGTCATTTTAATGGTAATATTGAGGAGCTGGTATATTTCTCCTTCATGGTTGGCTATAAGAAGGGTGAAATTTTGAGTTGGCCTAGGCTTATGTATAATTTCCAAATGATATTTAAAACTGCTAAAGTTTTAAGATCTCTTGGGAGCAAGGAAAGCTCACATTTACTTCTTAATACTTAAATAGGCAACAGAGAACAAACTAAAAAGCAAGGTGTATTATCTAAACCAGGGATGTATAGCCTGGGTAACTTTTAAAATATTTGGACTTCAATTCTGAGAATTCCCCAGCTAGCATGGCTGATTGGGAATTCTGGGAATTGAAGTCCACACATTTTAAAGTTGCCGAGGTTGGACACCCTGCTCTAAAACAAGAAATTAGAACATAGTGAAGAGTTGTATGTTCTTATACCCTACATGAAAACCTAACCCTGGGTTGGCTTTGCTCTAGTCTATACTCTTTTGCCTGTCTGCTGCCATTCATAAGACTTCCTGGCTGGGCAAACTAATTTCTCCATTCCCTACAAATTCTAGATTCTGATGGAGTATCCCTTACCCATCCCAATATGGAGTTGTTTTCTGACCAACAATTGAGTCTTCTGGGTTTTTTTTCCTCTTTTTAAAGTCCTTGTTAGGTCCTTGGACATCTAATAAACTTATGTACCTGACCAAATTCCAGTTCCTTATCTTCTGTGGACTGTAAGCCTTGTACCTGGGCATTTCTGTATTATGTTTTATTGAAAGAATAATTGCACATGTGGGTATTTGCTTATGTTTTGGAAACAAAGCCTGTCCAGTTTGTCTGGCCAAGGGGCCTACTTTACCTGTCCTCTGCTTGAAGGCTTATCTACTTCAACCTTGTTTTCAAGATAATTAACCATTTGTGTGCACGTGTGAGAGGAAAATATATATCCATCAGTAGTACCTGGGCAGTAGAAGAAGCCAGCACCTAGGTTAGTTGGTTGAAATATTTTCCAATATGGCAGGGAGTATTGTATTTCTGCTAATTTACCATTATATTAAACCTGCATCATATATCTATGGATTAACATTTGCAGTTTTTATGTAACTACCTTTTTTCTCTCTCTTGATGTTTAAATATCATTCTGGGCATAAGGCTCAAGTGACAGCATGTTTATACACAGCATTGAACTCACCTTGTGTTTGAATGATCTGCGAGATTACCTTAAACTCTAGCCATGGTCTAGAATACACCCTTGAACAGAGAGAGTGAGTCGCCCAAGATAACCTAGCAGGTTTTGTGCCCAAAGCAGGACTAGAACACATAATCACTTGTTTTCTAGCCTGATGCCTTAATCGCTACACCAAACTGGCTCTCCCAGTCCCGACGTACAGGGTGAGAAAATAGAGTTAAAACCATAACAGAAAAATATTTCAGAAACATTGCTAGTAAAAACAGGTTGGAGCACCAGTTTGGCACCAAGTTTGAAACCAGGACACTGTGAATCATAGTCCCACCTCAGGCACAATGTCATGGTTCCGATAGATGAGACCAGTTAAAAGAACTTCAAGGCAAGAAAGTTTCCTTAAAGAACATTTATTTGGTTACATAGTATCAGCAGGAACAAAGGTGAACCCAAGACAAATCCCTTCTCAGGTTACAATGTTGCAAAATTGAACTTCCCACGCCAGCAAGATGTCATAAATCACATTCTCCAATTAATAAGTTGCAAGGACTTTCTAATAGAAATCCCAGCCCGCCAAAATGCAATCAGCAATGACCTTGGTTCCCACAGAACAATGTATTGTTTTGACTAAGTTAAAAACACCCTCCTCCCAATTATGTGGCAACCAAAAATGAAGGGAAAATGGCTTCAGCCAAATTCGTTTGCAGTGTTGACACACAAAGCAAAGCAGGGCAACCTCGGGCCAAGTCACATGCTCATAGCCTGAATGAGAAGGAGGCAAGGGCAAGCCACTTCCAAAAATCTTGCCAAGAGTATGGTTGGGACTAGTGTAGTTCAGGCAGTTGCCAGGAATCAACAATGATGTGAAGACACCTAACAATCCAGTTTGACAGAGCGGCAGAGACTACTAACTCTCTCTAGGTCTGGACCAGTATTTCTCAGCCACAACCTTAAGAAATATGAATTTAATGCGGACTGGGGAATTTTAGGATTTGTAGTCCACATGTCTTAAAGGTTGAGAAACACTGGCCTGGACTCTTCTCTCTTATAAGGCTCCCATGATAATATGAAGCTACTGGATATGTTGTGACAAGGAAGAAGCAATAGAAGAGTCGCCTTTGGAGAGATGCATATGTCAACAGCTGCGTTTTTTTTGCTGGCTCAGGAATTCTGGGAGTTGAAGTCCATCGGTTGTAGAGTTAGATAAGATAACCTTTATTGTCATTTTTTTTTTTACTGTGGGCACAACAGCACACATCAAAAATGAAATTTAGTTGCCCGCTCTCAAAGTGAAACACATACATGACATACACCTAAACATACTATGTACAACATATGTACAGACCCACACCCCTACATATACATAACAAATACATATTAAATACTGCCCATCTTGAATATATAACGGAAGGAGGAAACTTGAGAGTTCACAAGATTAACACTGTATGGAATGAAACTATGGCTGAATCTGGATGTTCTGCTACAGATACCACAAAGCCTCCTCCCAGAAGGTAACAAGGAAAACTGGCTATAGTTTGCCACCTCTGGTCTAGAGGAGTAATACCTTCATCTCATTTATTACACAACTTTTGCATATAAAAGGGAGGGGAACAAGCCAAAGATTCACAAAATTCATTCAAGGTAGTCCTCAACACACAGCCATTCATTTAGTGAACATTTGAAGTACCACAGCACTGGAAAAAGTGACTTGTGACTGTTTTTCACACTTACAACCGTTGCAGCTTCCCTATGGTTGCATGATTACAAAATCAGGTACTTGGCCGTTGGTTGCAGTATCCCGGGGTCATGTGATCACCTTTTGTGACCTTCGGACAATCCCAGTCAATGAGGAAGCTAGATTGATTTAGCAATCATGTTACTGACATAATAACTACAGTGATTCACTTAACAACTATGGCAGGAAAGGTTGTAAAATAGGGAGAACTCACTTAACATCTTGCTTAGCAACCGAAATTTTGGGCTCAACTGTGGTCCTAAGTCCAGCCTTGTGTGATGTGTAGCTATGCACAGGCATAAATTGAATGCTTATCAATTAAAAGCAAATTAGCAACTGTTCAAAGTTACAATGGCTCTGAAAAACAGCTCACAACTGGTCCTCGCATTTAAAATCAACACAGCATCCCCCTGGACACATGATCAAAATTCAGGCACTTAGTAACTGGTGTATATTTACAACAATTGCAGTGTCATGTGATCACCGTTTGTAACTTTCCCAGCTGGCTTCCAACAAAAAATCAATGGGGGAAGCTGGATTCACTTACTGATGGCATAAGTAACCACTGCTATGATTTGCTTAACTGTGGCAAAAAAGGTCATAAAATTGGGCACAACTCACTTAAGAACCATCTTGCTTAGCAACAAAAATTCTGGTCCCAGAATGGTGCTCATAAGTCGAGGACTACCTGTATCAGGATTCCCAGCCTGAAAGTGCATTGGTGGGAATTTTAATTCCAACACACCACCAGGCTGGAAAAAGATTTACTAAACATCCCCAATTGATAGTAGCTGAAGTCTGATGCATTCATAGCATTAGGTCAACAATTTTGGAGGAAATGTCTCTTTGGAACATTTTCACCAGAAAATAGCAGCTTTCAGATCTGCTGCAGTGTTTATGATTTGTAAAAGTTGTTATCTTGCTGGTGCAGTCTCTTAAGAGGGGGGGGGGGAATTTGCCATCTCTGGTTTGACATCGACAATATCAAAAATTGAATGCAGCGCTATCTATGCCTAACAAATGTGTTGCTCCATTCCTCTGTTTCTTCTCTTTTCTAACTGGAATTGACAATGAACAAAAGTAAAGCAATAATGCAAAGTCTACTAAAAGGCCATTAATAATAATAATAATAATAATAATGTTGGAAGGGACCTTGGAGGTCATCTAGTCCAACCCCCTGCTCAGACAGGAAACCCTATACCATTTCAGACAAATAGCTATCCAGTCTCTTCTTAAAAACTTCCAGTGTTGGAGCATTCACCACTTCTGGAGGCAGGTTGTTCCACTGGTTAATTTAAAAAAACCAAGCTAGTGACTGTGACAACACAATTACAGCCTGTTCTTTTTTTTTACATGACATATATACATGGCATGGATAATAATGCAGTTGTGGCTGCCATCTTAATTTTTCACTTCCTGCGTTGACCCTACATGTTAGGATTGTTGGAAGGTTAGGAACGCTCCATCTTGGGCTAGAGATTAGATTTTGAAGGAGAAAGTAAACTTTTCAATCATTTTAGCTGCTTCCGGTAATATAGCTCTGCACACACAACAAAATACTATGGGTGCATTCATACAGTCCACAAGGCTAAAAACTTGTTTGTGACCTAATGAGTTGTGAAGACACAGCTGATGGCATATTTGATTAAGCTAACCTTGACTTGGTATGTTCTGAAGATTGTATTGATGTGGTTTGAAGCTTCCCCCCATAGCAACAGTAACTATGGCGCCCACAAATGCTGTGTGCCTGATCTCACAGCTGGACCAAACTTCACCTTGGTTACAAGCATAATCTCTCTGGAAGTTTACAGCATATACACATTAGAAAAACATAAGTAACTGAAAGAGGCAGAAAAAGAATCTCCTGCATTACACTCTTCTGTCTATCATGGTGCTCTTAGATACAAAGAGGTTCTTTTAGCATGCTAAGTCGTTGCACCTTTTGATCTGCACCATTTGCTGTGGGAACAGCTACTATAGTTTGTAAATTATGATTTTCGGCTTCATATGTATGAAGCTGAACCACTTATGGCTCAATCAGTAAACTGCAATTCGGTAAAACCAATCAATACTCAAAGTCATTCTGTAACACTTTTGACTCTCCCAAAAATAAATCTCAGTTTGATTTCTCTCTTTGTGTGTGCCTTCAAGACAATGTTTTGACTCCTGATGATTGCCTAGACAAGTCTCTACAGTTTTATTGGCCACATTTCAAAAGGGGGTTGTCCTTGCCTACTTCCTAGGGCTGAAAGAAAGTGACTGGCCCAAGGTCATCCTGCTGGCTTCATGGCTAAGGCAGGTCTAGAGCTCACGGATTCTTGGTGTCTAACCTGGTATTTGTAGTGTATTTATCATCTCGCCTTCTCTTCTGGGAGATAAGCTGTACAGGCCATTTTAGATAATCTCCTATCTTGATTTCAGCAAGATAGAGAAAGCCAGGTTGGCCCTGTGTTGTCCTAGAAACCAGGAGACCACGAGTTCTAGTCCCTCCTTAGGCATTTAAAATCAACACAGCATCCCCCTGGACACGTGATCAAAATTCAGGCACTTAGTAACTGGTGTATATTTACAATAATTGCAGTGTCCTGGAGTCATGTGATCACCATTTGTAATTTTCCCAACTCACTGCACAGGGTTGTTTTTGTTAGGAAGATAAGGAATATCTATGTTTGCTGCCTTTGCTGTATATATATAAAAAAAAATCTAAAAGGAAAAAGTGGGTCTTCACAAACGCTCTATGGTCATAAGATAATTTTCTTCTTTATTAAATATATTCATAGCTTTAGTCCCTTAATGAATTAAAATGCCAAAGATTTGCTACTATAGTCACTGCCTTGAGTCACTGCTCACCATGGTCATAACTTCTGGCGGTCGTAAAATGGATCAGTCATGTGACCTTTTTTGATGTAGTTAAGTGAATCACCCAATTGTTAAGCAAATCCACAGTTGTTGAGTGAACACTAAAGTCAATAAGCGAACCAATAGCTTGCTATGAGTGGGGTTTTGCCGAAAACTTGGAAATATATGCGGGCTTTCAGCAAAACCATCCTAAAACACAGTCATATGATGGCAGGATGGTGCAAATGGCTGTAAATCCAGTTGCTGAATGTACAAAGTGCAGTCATGTGATCACTGGGGGGGGGGAGGAACCATCAGAATTTCAAATCTGGGTTGTAAACATTTGTCCAGGCAGGTCCATTGGAACTTAGATAGTTGTCAAGAACAACCTGTATTCTGTTCCTAACCTGTCCCATGTGTTGAAAGGAACACTGATGTAGAAATTTTTGCTAGTTATGTCTACAGCAGAAAGCGAATTCTGAAATCGGGGGTGATTCTGGCTGTATTCTTGTGTAGAGACACAAACACTCCAGGCAGCAGATGCAGAAAGTGGTCAGTCTGCGCCCTCCCTTTCCCATCCATCTGTTCATACGTAACCCGGACTAGGATTTTGCACATACGCGCTGTGTTTTTGGACTCCTCATTTCTTCCTCTAAGCATCTTCTGTTGATATGCAGGAAGTGGGACATGCATTAAACCACCCAATTATTGAAATTGCCACCCAGGATTTGTCTTATATTGACCATCTGACCAAGTGTGGGTTGTAATAAGCAATTCCTGGTAAGGACTCAGCTGCAACATTTTCTGCCTGTTTCTGGAAATCTCAGGTCCTGAATTTGGAAACTTTACCAGCCGTTCATCTACATCCTCAGATCAGCCTGATAATTCCATTTGGGGTTGTCGTCTCCATTTAAAGTCCTGCAGGAGACACAAGGGCAAAATGGGGAATGACAGAAATCAGAGGGATGCGAGATTGGATGAGATAGCTTTTAATATGGAGCTGTCAGCTCCAAGGTGTGGTGTTTCTCAGAAGCTCTTAGCACCTTCACAGAGAAAAGTCAAGGACCTCTGATTCCATAATTAATTGTTTTGAATGACAATGTTCAAACAGCGTCTGAAACTGAGTGCATTAACCCTTCCCCCCCCCTTTTAAAATTTCCTATTAGTTTTCTTTTGGGACAATAATTCTATGTAATTCCCAAAGTGCTGCCATGCAATTAAAATCTAAAAATAAGGAGGATTTGGGGAGTTTTTAACCTCTAGGTCCTGAAGAAGATTCATCTGGACTACCAGATACAGCAAATCTCAATTTCAAAAGTTTTTGCTGATTTATCCTTGAAGAAAAAGGATTTTTGTTTTCTTCTGCATTAGAACTTTCCAATGTTTCTCTCCCCCCCCCCCCGGTTCTATCTGGTTATGAAGATTGTTTTTCCCCCAAGGCTGTTGCCTGATTTGTGATATGTTCACATTTCTCTCACAATTTGGCACAGCACTGGCTAATCTCTGATGAACCCGTTTTATTGATTGATTAGATTTGTATCCAGCCTTTATTACTTCATACAGTAGGTAACTCAAGAGGGTGAACATGCACAATACTCACAAATGAAGGTAAATATACGTGTCCCAGGATAATATTGCAGGATCTAACCTGGGTCAGTCCCCAGGACCAGAGGTTTAATTTTCTGGGCTTTCAGACTTGTGCTGGAGCAGGGAACCTCTCTTTGCCAGAATGTGTGCTTTGGGCTATTCTATTTTATTCTATTTTATACTGAACCTCTGGTCCTGGTGACCGATCTGGATTGGATCTTACATACGTAATGCTCCCTCCTATTATTCCCATAACAATAGACCTGTGAGAGGCGTTGGACTGAGAGTGAACGACTGGCCCAAAATCATCCAGCTGGCTGTCATGCCTACAGTGCGACTGCAACTCACTGGATATTACTGGGCATTGTTTGCGAGCAAGCTTTCAGGACAGAGATGAGCTGGAGACCCTTAAATGTTTCACAAATCAACAGTGCATTGGAGAAAGCAAAGCAATACCAATGTGGCATATGCCTCAAATGTTTTTCGGGGATTCCACCTAGTGGAAGTGACTCTGGTATCCAGTAAACCTTGTCAATTCTTGCATTAATGAGTTCTCATGTCGGAGCAGAGATAAAGATAGCAAAAGAATTAAATATTTCAAAGAGGTTTGATCTTAGTTCTAATGAAACCAGGATGTAAGGCACAAATATGTTTCATGCAAGACTGCCTGGACTTATAATAATCTCCATTAAGAAAAATCCTAAGTAATATTGTATGACACCTTAAAATGTCAACGCATCTATTCTGTTTAAACGCCTATATGTCAGTTGGATAAAATTCTATCCAATCTTCTATCCATTCCTATTTAGGAATCATTCTTTGGACTCGTGGAAAGTAGTAACCAGATGGGATAGACTAGAATATATTTAGGTTTCTCTGATTGGACACTTTCCAATGAGATGTGATTGGACAACTTTGACATCCTTTGGATCGATTGGTGAAGACGACCAGGCGATTTTACAGGTTGGCGGGGCGGAGTAGGAGCAGACTAGTCTCTTTCGGAGTTCTCACTCTGGTCCGACACTAGACTATATTAAGTTCCTGGCAGAGCGTCTCTTTGTTGTTACCGACGTGGTGGTTTCGTTGTTAGGATGTCTGGCCGTGGCAAAGGAGGAAAAGGCTTAGGGAAGGGAGGCGCTAAGAGGCACCGTAAGGTCCTTCGAGACAACATTCAGGGCATCACGAAGCCCGCCATTCGCCGCTTGGCTCGCCGTGGGGGAGTGAAGCGTATCTCCGGGCTCATCTATGAAGAGACTCGAGGCGTCTTGAAGGTCTTCTTGGAGAATGTTATCCGGGATGCTGTTACCTATACTGAACATGCCAAGAGAAAGACGGTGACGGCCATGGACGTAGTTTATGCTTTGAAACGCCAAGGCCGCACCTTGTATGGTTTTGGTGGTTAGAAAGCTACATTTCCACTGCTGACAAAGGAACCCAAAGGCCCTTTTCAGGGCCACCCACGCAGTCAATTTAAAGAGCTGTTTTCATTTGGCAAAAAAAGACCCCTAATTAATGTAACTACTATAAATTTATTCTGATCGACAACGTTAGTAAATAATAACTAACTGAGCAAATGAAACTGGTTTATTTCGTATTTAGTCCTTAACGTTTGTCAAAATAGGCTTATTAAGGTTTTATCATTTTTAAAAATATATTTTCAAGGCTTTTATTGCATGCTCTTCTGTCTTTCAGGAAAGACTGATTTAGTTATCTCAAGGCGTGAAATGGGGAAATGGGGAAACTTGCCATCTTTATCACGTTTATCGGGGGACAAAAGAAAGGGAAAATGTAAGTTAATTACGCGTCTACAAAGAGTCAGTACTGCAAATTCAAATCTTGTTAACTGAATCATAGATTATGTGAGAAATTTGCCACAAGATGGCAGCAGAGGACAAGGATTACCGATTTTTCTCCCCCCCCCCCCCAAAAGCCCTCATGAAAAGATCTGTGATCTTATGGAAAGCCCTCATAATAATATGAAAAGACTAAAATATACTCCACAACTGATCGAATGCTTGATAGTGAAGAAACTCTGATCTCTAGGTACATTTCCATCCTTCCGAGATCAGTAAAATGAGGACCCAGATTGTTGGGGGCATATGCTGTCTCTAACTTACTTGGAGATATATGAGTCTAAGTGCTATTGCTATCACTGTATTAGAATATCTTCAGGGAATAGTTATAGCTTGGAATAATAAGTATTCAGGTAAAAATGCTCTTTTATATCCTTAATTGCCATCAGTGATTGAGTTTTCCATTTGCTTATGGTATTCTGCCTTTTTGAAGCTAACCACCAGGATTTGGCACAAGGGAAAAAATAATAAATTTGCCTATTTCAAAGAACTTTTTCTCTTCGAGGGGAAAAAAGGTGAGAGCAGGAAAAATAAAGCAACAGACTGCTTATTTCTCTCAAAAGTAGTTTCAGAGGGGTAGTAGGGTTCTTCACACAAGCTGTTAATAGTGGAGTTTACTTATCTCATTAAAGCACTAAGATATCTTGTTGATTCAAAGGCTGCAGCATAACATCTATAGTCAAGATAAGATCCTTGATTCAGAAACATCAAATAAAAAGGCAGTAACTGAGGCAGGAGGGTCCCTTGTCCTCAAAATGGGTTCCATTGCTGAAATGGTCCTGCTTCTAGACATGAACATTTAAATGTAGGTGGTGTCTGTTATTGTTATCTTTTAGATAATAATGCAGATGATTTAAGCTTAAATGTTTAGAAAAGGCTTTGGAGAAGAAAAACTGCTATCAACAACACTTCTAGCTTAGCACATCCAATTGCACCACTGTTGGCTTTGAAACAACCCAAAAGTGGAGACGAGCTCTGTCCAAAGTTTTTTTTATTATTATTAACACAAATGTTCTCCAAATTGGCAAAATAATATAGGTAGTCTTCGACTTACAACCATTTGTTTAATGACCATTTGCAGTGATGGCACTGAAAAAAGTGACATGCCAAATTTTCACACTTGTGATACTTGGCAACTAGTATGTATGATAGTTGCAGTGTCCCAAGGTCATGTGATCACCTTTTGTGACCTAAGAAGCAAAATCAATGGGGAAGCCAGAATCACTTAACAACCATGTTACTAATTTACTTACAGTGTTACATTTAACAATTGTGGCATGAAAAGTTATAAAAATGGGGACAAAGTCACTTAACAACTGTCTTGCTTAGCAAGATAAATTTTAGGCTCAATTGTGGTTGTAAGTTGAGGGGTAACTGTAATTGATAACCAATACAGAAAAATATTTGTAGCTCGGGGTCGAAATGAAGGGTCCTTGGTGGATTTAAGCTTGGTTATTTATTTTCTTGCAGATGTTTCATTATCCAAACTAGGTAACATCCTCGTGACTAGCCATATGCATAAAGAGTGAAATTGGTGAATATGTGAATACATATATGTACACAAAGCATGAGGACACAATGAGAGACAAAGAGGGTTGGGAAACTGAGGACAAAATCATGTGCGGAACCCCAAAGAGAAATCAAACCGAAAGAAAAAGTCCCATCTGAACTGAGATCCATTGCTATTAAAATTTGTGCAGATCAATGCATTGATCATTTAGACCAGCACTGAAAAAGACAGAGTCCCCTTTCTACATGGGTCTATTTCCCCCCCCCCATGTTTCTTATAGTGATGTGGGCTTAAATCACATGTTTTATAATGTACAAGCAGTCAGAAATATGATTAGGTGCCCCCTTTTGAATGGCAAATATGAGCATTTGGCATTCACTCAACTGGAATCCTGTGATATTTCAATAGATTTATATTAGGATGATGTGACCTAATATCAGCTAAAGCTCCAGAAATAAAGGAAAGAAGAAAAGTTGTATAATGAGAATGTGCTTGGCTCAATTATTTAGAAATATTTCATGACACTCATGCATCCTTCATATTTGTTTTGGATTTTAGAATTGGACTTTGTTTGGGACAAACAAAACAGTTTGGAACACCAGTATGGAACAATTTGGAATGTGTTCAAACAAGGGCACCAGGAAAGATTAGGAGACAAGGAAGTAGATCCTTTAAGGAGAGGTCAATTGGATGGGGTTTATATACCATTTTAAAAGGACAATAATGATGAAGGATGGGATATAACATTTCCAAGCAATTAGAGAGTCACAGGCAGAATTTGTTCTTCATAATTTCAGAGGGTAGAATGAAGAATAAGCAAGGAGGTTCAATTCATGGCATAAATGATCAATTACTATCCTAATATTCTATTATTCTATTTTTAGTGACTGGATATCATATTACTGCTACTATACTTTTCTGGAAAAGTGACATACTGAAAGGACTGTGTTGTAGGCTGGAGATAGATGATGTCCTATCCTATTATAACTGATTTGGTAATTAAAAGTATGGATTGCTTCTTTGACTCTGATGTCCACAGATATTTAAGTTCCTCCTCCGTTTCTATAGTTTTATTAATATGTTTGACTGGATCTCTTCTCCATGTATCCAAGAGTTCATATTATCATATCTGATCTGGGGATCAGATAGCAGTAAGTTTGCCTCTGAAAGTCACCTGCTGACAGACTAGTGAGAGACTGAGAGACTTGTGTACAGGTAGTTCTCGACTTAAGATCATAACCGAGCCCAACATTTCTGTTGCTAAGCAAGACAGTTATTAAGTGAATTTCCCCCCAGTTTACAGCCTTTCTTGCCTCAGTTTCAGGTGAATTACTGCAGCTGTTCAGTTAGTAAAATGGTTGTTAAGCTTCCCCGTTGACTTTGCTTGTCCCCACATGACCCTGGGGCACTGCAGCCATCACAAATACGAGTCAGTGGCCAAGCATCTGAATTTTGGTCACGTGACCCTTTGGATGCTGCAAAGGTTGTATGTGTGAAAAACGGTCATAAGTCACTTTTTTCCATGAATAAATGTTGTAAGTCAAGGACTGCCTGCACTTGATTGGCCACTGTGAGAACAGACAGCAGGACCAGATGGGCCACTGCTTATGGATGTCCTTAGGGTAATTATTGGAGGTGATGGATACACATTCCAAAGATTTCCAGGGTAAGAACTCTGATAGACTTGGTTCCACTTTCAATTACTCCCAACTTCCATTGTTATCAAACCTACTCAACTGAAAGGCAATCTTGAATGCATATTACACATGCCATGCAGTTTCATTCCCCAGTAGCAATATAAAACGAAACCAGAACTGTTGTACAATGGAGGAATTTTAAAAGACAGGATTAAAATACACATCAGTGAAATACTTCCTATCTGTCAGAGTTAAACCAAATGGAACGGACATATCCTTGTATTGACAGGAAACAGAGAAATCATTTTAAAAATACTATCAGTGGTTAGAAAGCTAGCAGCTTGATTGCTGGAAATAACTTCTGGAAAGAATAAAAGTTCACTGTAAGTTGAAAGAGTTTTACAGAAAAGTACCATCGCTCCCAAGTGCAACTGCATTTCTATTATTCTTTTATTATTTTCTAGCATTAGGGACCGATATCTGCTACTATACTATGTTTCTGAAGAGTGATAGTCAATTACTTTGAATAGAATACATAGACGGCGTGTTTATTAAACACCAGTGATAGCTTTCTCCATTTTATGCCATTGGAATTTTATAGGAATCAATATACATTTATCCAGGGGCCATCCACAATATATTCTTCCTGTCATTGTTCATTCCACCGAATTTTGGATTTAAAGTGAGGATTTTTTCAGTAAACAACAGCAGGGAGAATGGGAAATGCAGGAAAGGGGCTCTTTAAAAACCTTAAACCTTTTGAAGCCACTCCTTGTCACAAACAATGCTTGATGGCGTCTGACAGACGAGCAAACTTCTGCGGCCGGCCCGAGGAACCGGACATTCAGGGCGATGGACCCTTCAAAGAAAGAAGGCAAAACCGCCCTTTTCCTTCCTTGAAAGAATAAAAGTAAAAGTCCCAAATCGGAGGAGTTTCCCCAGCGAAGGAGCCTCACTGCGACTCCAGAGTGAATGAATGAATGTGTTACTTGGGATCATTCAAGCGGCTTTTCCAGCCAAACGCCCGTCCGGGGAGAGGGACGTTCCTCCCCACGCCGGCCCGGAGTCCCCCGAGAGCGGCCTGGCCCCCTTCCCCAGCCCCGCACTCCAAAGACAAGGCTTGAATTTACACGAAAACACCAAACATTTCCTCGCCGGAGATGCGCGCAGCCGAGAGCCGCTCCGCTTCGGCCCGGTTTTCTCCCGCCCGCCGCCTCGCCTGGGCCGGCGCCGCCACCGCCCGAAAGGCCTGCTCCCCCCGCCCCGCTTCCACCGGCCCCGGGCGCTCCCCGCCACCCAGGCGCGACTCGGGGGACGCTTTTGGGGCACCCAAGAAACACAAAGTTGCAGCCGCCGCAGCCGCGTCTGGCTGGCGGAGAGCGGCGCCCGCGAACGCACCACTCGGGGCGCAGCTCCGCCCCTATAAATAGCAGGCAGCTCCTTTGCCTCACTTCAGACTCTACTTTTCGGCTCCCGGAGACTCTGTGCCCGCCCGCCAGCCCGCCAGCCCGCCAGACGCAAGGAAGCCGAGAGGCCCCGAGGAGACCATGTCCGAGACGGCGCCCGAAGCCCCCGCGGCCGCTGCGCCGGCAGCCAAGGCGCCAGCAGCCAAGAAGGCCAAGAAACCCGCGGTCGCCGCCAAGCCGCGCAAGGCTGCCGGGCCCAGCGTCACCGAGCTGCTGACCAAGGCGGTGGCCGCCTCGAAGGAGCGCAACGGGGTGTCCCTGGCGGCGCTCAAGAAGGCCCTGGCGGCGGCCGGCTACGACGTAGAGAAGAACAACAGCCGCATCAAGCTGGGGCTGAAGAGCCTGGTGGGCAAAGGCACGCTGGTGCAGACCAAGGGCACGGGCGCCTCGGGCTCCTTCAAGCTCAACAAGAAGCAGCAGGAAGGCAAGGACAAGGCGCCGGTCAAGAAGAAGCCGGCTGTCAAGAGCAAGAAACCCGCCGCCAAGAAGCCGGCCGCCGCCAAGAAGGCGCTCAAGAAGCCCGCCGCCAAGAAGAGCCCCAAGAAGGCCGTCAAGAAGCCGGCCGCGGGGGCCAAGAAGGCGGCCAAGAGCCCCAAGAAGGCCAAGCCCGCCAAACCCAAAAAGGCGCTTAAAAGCCCTGCCAAAACCAAGGCGGTGAAGGCCAAGGCCGCCAAACCCAAGACTCCCAAAGCGAAGGTGGCCAAGCCCAAGAAGGGGGCGGCCAAGAAGAAGTGAAGCAGCTTCTGTGACTCTTTCGATCCCAAAGGCTCTTTTAAGAGCCACCCACTTTCTTTTGAAAAGGGCTGACCTCATGTGAGTCCTGGCACTCGCTGTGCTTAAGCCAATCCCCGTTTCAATGGGGGAACACTTTGAAGTCTGAAGCGCCTGCTTGAAGCTTCCACAAAGACCTCCTGGGAAGGTCGTAGGGACTTCCCAAGTCACTTTCTGGGTGGGGTTTCTGGATATTGAAGCAAAAGTGAATGGGTGGGGAATCTTCCCTCTGGCTTCTTATCTTGCGATCAACAATAGCAGCTGACTTCCCTAAGTGTTATGTAGGAATTCACCAACGGCTCCTTGTTCGCTAAATGTTGGACAGGGAATGCGCAAATAAAATGCTTGGTGAATTTTAGGTAGCGCCATATTCTCCCGCAAAACCAGAGGGAAAGCGCTGCCTTTCGTTCTTATCGCGACTATTATTGCCCGGATATTCCTCCCTAATATATCTTGTTTTATATATTCCCTCACGATAGCGGAGGAAGGAGGAAAAAGAATGTCCAGAAAAGGACTAAAATGAATGAATGCAGATATGCAGAATTATTGCAACCTTTGCAATTCCTGAAAATTGCTGATTGGTTGAGAAAGCTATGGTTCATTTAAAAAAAAATAACCTGGGCTTCACAGAGATTAGGTGGTGACTTCATTTTTAACCAATCAGGGCTAACGCAGGCACTTCGCACAGTTATGATCTAATTGGATTTCTGCTTTCCTTGCTATTTAGTTACGATGTAACGAAGGCATGTGAAAGTGATCGGTGTTGCTGTTACGGTGTATCCCAATTTTCGGGAAACATGAGACAATGTTATCCAAAATGGCGCAATCATGTCTAAGAGAAACCATTTGAGGCTTCCTTAAGTCTAGGAAGAAAAACATGCATAGTAAACATTACCAAAGAACTGTTTCATAAGAAAAAAAAAAGTTAACCAAGGATGCTTGAGGCACCGTTGGCCATCATGCCGAAATCATATGTTGGAATCGAGTATTGAAAGCGAAAAGAAATATACTAAATAAATATTTCTGTGAACATACTTTTAGAAATTTCTTTGATAAACGGCTTTGTTACATTTCACAAATCACAATTCCCAATTTCCCGAGGTGCATTCAATTTCAAAACGTTTTTGTAACTTTTTTTAAAAAAAGTTCTACACCCGCTTGTCTATTAAGTTACAGTGTTTTGTAAGCATAAAAAGAAAAGTTGCGACTTTGTAGCATGTTTCTTTGTAAACGAAGAACCTGATTGGTCACATTCCATTTCTTGGTTGATTTATTGGTGGAAAAGCCCGCCTCTTAGAATTCTTATACTTAAGGGAGGAGGGGCCGAAAGTGGTGTACGCCTCTCTTACAAGTTCTCACTCAGGTCGGGTAAAGTGCTATATAAACGTTGCTCTTACAGTCGCTCATCACATTTTTCTCCGTTTCGCTCAGACGATTTTGCTGGTCGTTTTTGTCATGTCTGGTCGTGGAAAAGGCGGGAAGGGTCTCGGGAAAGGAGGCGCCAAGAGGCACCGGAAAGTGCTCCGCGATAACATCCAAGGCATCACCAAACCTGCTATACGCCGCCTGGCTCGCCGTGGAGGTGTGAAACGTATTTCGGGCTTGATTTACGAAGAGACTCGCGGTGTACTGAAGGTCTTCTTGGAGAACGTTATTCGAGATGCTGTGACCTACACCGAGCACGCGAAGCGAAAGACTGTAACTGCTATGGATGTTGTTTATGCCTTGAAACGCCAAGGTCGTACTCTGTACGGTTTTGGTGGATAAAGTTTATAGAATTCATCTTTATTTGTTGATCTAAAAGGCCCTTATCAGGGCCACCCACACATTCCTAAAAAGAGCTGTGTTCGCTTGTGAATACAAGTGTAAATGTTGAATGTGTTCGCGTGTGGGGTTTACATTGTATGTAAAAGTACTGGAAGGAAAACTAGGAGAAGAGAAGTCTGGTGTTGGGAAACTCCTTCATTGTAATCTTTAAAAAATTGATACAAGCTCTTTGAAAGAAAGTGGCACCATGTGAAACTGTTAAAATGTAAATGTTTGGTCCATTCATGTATCTCGTTTAAGAAAACAAAATAGCTCCTTTAAAAATTGACCCGTTTCCAGGAAACTGTAACAACAAAAAGCTTTATCAAAGCTCCCTGCTGGCCTACAACTCTGAAAAGAAACATGAATTGGGGGGTGGCTGTTTATGCTGGTTCTCATTTCACACCGTCTTTTCAATAGCCTCTTCCCCCCCCCCCCCTTATTTCTGACATTGAAAGTAATTGCTCTCATATTTTCTAACCGGTAGTATTATCTCTTGTCCTACTCACCCCCCCTCCCCTTTACACTGCTAATAGAGGAAAAGTGGAAGGATCTATTGAACACGTTGGGGTGTTCTGCCAATCACAATGCAGCCTGGGATGTTTCAATTCATGGCAAAATGGTGACACATGAAGGCTCACAATTTCTATTGTTCTTTCTCCCACTTCTTGATTATGAATCCCAAGGTTAAGCTTGATGGGAAACCTGTCTAAAGTGGCCAAAAGGTTTTATAAATGAGCATATTCACCTCACCTATCAACTCGGTTTGATTACGTATAATTTACCCAATCTATATAAATAAAAATGTAAATATTTGTTTGTTCAAAATCTTAAATCTCTGAAAGTTCTTCACCGATTGCTTTGAAATTTTGACACAATGTTGCATTCGAATATGCATGTGTTTTTATATACCTATATTATATAGATGTCACACCTGTGACAGGTAAAAACATGCTTTTTTGAAAAACAGCGCCATCTGTTCGATGTAAAAGCAATACACGCTACAATTTCAGACAATATATCTGCACAGACAATGGAACAACAAAAAATATTGTATACCCACAAGCATTGTGAAATTAAACATATTACAAACATGCACTTTCTCTTTTCTTTCTTTTCCATTTTATCAGACTGAGCCACAGCAATGCATGGCTGGGTACAGCTAGTAAATTATAATTTTATGAGCTGGTACAATATGCTTTTAGTTAACTGAGTTTTCATAATTAAAACATCTGTGATGCAGATCCTATGTGTAGGCTAATAATGGTAGTCAAATTTACAAAAAATACATTTTAGCCTAGCAACTCCAGAATCATGTGCAACTCATTTTTGGTTAATAAGGTAAATTAAACCTGGTTACTTTGTGCAAAAAGTTTTAAATAACTTGGTAATTAAGCAACTTAAACTGCTCCACATAGAATTCTAGTTTATGCTTTTATAGAATCCTGGAACGCCAGTAAAACTTTTCAGAAATTATACCCAAATGAAGCAAAGCATGACTGAGAAGGAAAGCTTATATGCATACTCAGTCCCATACTCAGGAGCTCAGCAGAACCAGGCTTTGTTAGAATTTGAATTGGATACCACCAGGTAATTCCAGAACTGTAGAGACCAAAGGCTAGATTGGGAAGTTGAAAACATGTCTCGGAAGATGGAAAACCATATTCATCCTGCAAAGAATTTTTTTTTTTAATTCTCCCTCTCCCTTTTTATTTTGGAAATACAGGTAGTCCTCGACTTACAACCATTCATTTAGTGACCATTTGAAGTTACAATGGCACTGAAAAAAGTGACCAGTTTTCACATTTATGACCGTTGGAGCATCCCCATGGTCACATGATCAGAACTTGGATGCTTGGCAACTGGTTCCTATTTATGATGGTTGCAGTGCCCCTGGGTCACATGATCCCCTTTTTTTTGACCTTCTGACAAGCAAAGTTAATGGGGAAGCCAGATTCACTTAACCTTTCTACAAACTTAACAACTGTGGCAAGAAAGCTCATAAAATGGTCACTTGACAACTGTCTCGCTTAGCAACAGAAATTCTGGATTCAACTGTAGTCATGTCAAGGACTATCTGTGACTCAAGGCGGTGAGTATGCATAACACTCCTTCCTCCTCCTGTTTTCTCCACAATAACAAACCTGTGAGGTGGGTTGCATTGAGAGGGTGTGAAAGGCCCAAAGTCACCCAGCTGGTTTTCATGTCTAAGGCAGGACTAGAAGTCACAGCCTCCTACACCAAACTATATTCATGATTTAAGTATATCTTTCTCTTTCTATTAAACAGAATTCACTTCTGTATTAGTATAGGTGTCAAACAAATTTCTCAAAGTAGTAAGCTTGAGTTTCTTAAGGAATAAGTGAAGAATTATGAGTCCAAGAGACAGTTGATTAGTACAGAAATAGATGCCTTTTAAATTAAAACTCTCCCAGGCAGGACCCTTGCTTTGGGTGTAGAACAGAGGTGTTTGCTGGGTGTGATCTGAACAGTCATGATATCAGTCAAAGCAAATGAAATTGAAGCTTAGCCTATTTTTGTATGTGTATTGCCATCTTGATTTCTTTTACTACATCCTTTTATTGTGATTGGAACTCATGGAGGATGAAATCCAAAGTATCTTAAGGAAAGCAAATAGCCCACCTCTTTGATCAATCCTGGGTCAATCTTGGAAGATTTTTAAAAGGAAAAAAAAAATCCATTCAATATTCTAAAAATGGATATCACTTTCAATGCATTTGTAGGATGAAAGTTGCAAAAGATGATTACCAGTAATATTATTTTTCTTGCTCCCTTTCAATCATATCTCCAGAGAAAATGAGGGGAAGCAAAGGAGAAAACCTCTTCTAAACTACATAAAAGGGAACTTAGTTGCAAGAATGAAGCAATGCATACAAGGCATTTGCTTTCTTTGCTTTCTTTTCACCCTTGCCTTACATTCTTGGAATTGTCTCACAAAAAAGCTGGAAAATAAATGCCTTTCTGAAACAGTCAGGAAAAAAATATTTCAATAGACATTTTAAAACGTTGTTTCCAGTAGATTTAAAAACAAACAAACAATTATCCCTTTATTCAGTTTTAAATTTTATAACTGAAATTTATGTTCAATAGATAAATTATGAGAGGCTTGAGACCATGTACATACCGCAGTTAAATTAGACTCGCCACATAATTATTTAAAAAAAATGAGCGCCAAAATCGTGCATAGCTTTGAATTATATTTACTGTATTCTGATTGGGCAGTTTAATTCCGGATTAGTCATTCATTGGACAAAGGAACAATAAAGTTCGGGTTTTTTTTTTTTTAAAAAAAAATCTTTCTCGCTGTTTTCATTCTGGTCGGACTCTACGCAATATAAGCTGAGAGATTCGCGCGCTGAACAGTATTTCTTTTCTTGTAAGGGAGGTCCTCGGTGCTCGGAGAAAAACATGTCTGGACGTGGAAAAGGCGGAAAAGGGCTCGGAAAAGGGGGCGCAAAGAGACATCGGAAGGTGCTCCGCGATAACATCCAAGGCATTACCAAGCCTGCTATTCGTCGTTTGGCTCGCCGTGGGGGAGTAAAGCGTATTTCTGGCTTGATTTATGAAGAAACTCGGGGCGTACTGAAGGTGTTTCTGGAAAACGTTATTCGTGATGCCGTGACCTACACCGAGCATGCAAAACGGAAGACCGTGACTGCGATGGACGTCGTTTATGCCCTGAAACGCCAAGGTCGCACTCTCTATGGCTTCGGAGGCTAAAAAGTTGAATTAACAGCACAAAACTCAAAGGCCCTTTTCAGGGCCACCAAATCTTTCAGAAAAAGAGTTTGAGTTGCTTGCTGATTTTGTAACCAGAATTTTGGTATAAACATTTAAATCTTATACAGTGGTGTGAGTGTGCTTGCTACCAATTTTCAGGAACTCTATGCCTGCAGGTATTTAAGCTTTCCGAAATAGGCTACTTTTTTTTCCCCTCAATATACTTGTGAGAAACTAATGCCCCAGGTCACTCTGCTGCTTGAGGGCAAGGTTCATGATTTCTACCTTTGTACCCTGGAGTTTCAATCCATATCAAATAGGCTCCTTACTATTGCTAACATGAAAATATTCATGGCATTGCAGCATTTTAATTCTAAGAACAAATTGTACATTGTACATTTGTGAAGTAACAAGACAAGCTATGATGTCAAGTGATATTTTGAAAAAGAATATTTCTAACTAGTATAACAGTCATATTCAAACATTCTGTTGAATTCAATGGCAATTAGTCTAGAATAAAACTGCAGCCTTAATTTAGTGAGTCTAATTTGGAAAATGTTTAAAAAGTCAATACTGTCTCTTAAAGCTGAACAGTAACAATTCAAAGGATTTCTTTGCATTTTGTTAATGTAAGTGGATTGAATAGTTTGGATTTTTCCTTCACTGGATAAATGATGAAAACAGGAAAAAAAAAGTAGTCCCAGTCTTTAAAATGTGTGTTGGTGGACTTACATTATAAATGGATGCCAGTTCTGCTCCAGAACCAAGTAAGGAATCCTCTTGAGAATTATAGAGTTTTTGTTATGGCTTTTTACTATCCCATTTTGATGAGTTTGGGAGAATATTAAAGCTTGTTTAAGCTTTTCTCTTACTGTAATTTGATTGGTATAGGGCTCATACTTCTCTCCAGGACTAGATTCACCTTTAATCTCTTATTTTTATCTGCTTGCTTTGGACTGTTTTTGCAGGAAGGATTTAATAGTTAATTCTTTTAGTGCATTGTTTAAACCCTCACTGCAAATAACCTCTTGCTTTCTAAAGAGTCATTCTGGTAATAACATTTAAATCTACTATATAAATTGCTAATCCTTCCTCCACATAGTAGAAAAGGCAAAAATCTAACCATCTTTCTCCAATCTCCATCAGCAAATCTACAAGAATTGGAAGTGAAATTGAAATCCAACATATCCAAAGGAACTAGACTGGGGAAATTGTGCATGTGCTTGTACATAAAATGTTTTCTAATTTATATTTGTAAACTGTTAAATATCCCTATTTTCAATCTGGGCCAAAATTAGCCATGGAGTATTCAGGAACAATGCATCTTTTGCTGACATTTGCTGAGTACAAAGAAAGGAAGATTCCTAAATAGTTTACCAATTCCGATTAGAAAATCAGTTGTGATTAGGAAATCAGACACGGCAATTTGGAGATGTGCTGCAATTAATAAACCTCTAATTCAGTGGTTCTCAACCTGTGGGTCGGGACCCCATTTGGGGTCGAACGACCATTTCACGGGGGTCGCCAAACAACGCAGTCCACCATTTTTTTCCCCCTTTTCCTTAGCTGTGCTACTCCCTTTTATTCTATTGGCTTTTGAAAGCCAATAGAATAGACTCTCTTGAATAGAGTCTAATTCTATTGGCTTTCAAAAGCCAATAGGAATTGTCCAGGCTGTCTCTGCCGTGCTGAGCCCACCAAAAGTCCCATTCTGCAAATGGTGCTGCACCAGTTGAGTAGTCCTCGACTTATGACCGGTTGAGTAGTCCTCGACTTACGATCGGTTGGGGGTCACAGCATTAAAAAGGTTGAGAATCACTCCTCTAATTTGACCCACTTCCCATATTTTTGAATACAATCTATATGGGGAAAAGAAATGTCACATTTTAAGAAAATGGCATTAGATTGCAGTCTTAGTAGAAAGAAATTTGAATAAAACTTTGTGTTACTGTGCTTAGGATTTCACAATAGAAAGCAGAGAATACAGAATAATAGGAGCCTTGGATTTCAATCCCCTGCTTGAGCAGGAGACTTTTCCAGACATATGACTGTCCAATCTCTTCTTAAAAACCTCCAGTGATGGAGCACTCACAATTTCTGAAAGTCATTCCTCTGATTAATTGTTCTCACTGCAGGAAATTTTTCCTTAGTTCTAGGCTGGATCTCTTTTTGATAAGTTCCCATCTGTTACTTATTCTGGATATAGTATTCCAAATATAGTCTTACCAAAGCTTTACTAATACTCAGTTTGTTCCATTACTGCTAATAAATTACTGAATGGAATAAATTCTAATGGCTGCAATTACATTTTTTTTTTTTTTTTTGTAAAATACTGGACAGACTACAAGATTTATTATCTCTAATATATTGCATGGATGGAGAATTCATCTCTTAGTATCGATAAACGCGGGCGAGGGGGAGACAGGATGCTTCGAATCAATTAAAATCACAGAATAGCGATTGGCTGCGGTAGGAGGAAAAGAGACCAATCAGAGTTGTGCTGTTATTGTCCAATCACGGCAGAGCCCGGGAAATTCAAACAGGGTTAACGACTTCACTCTCAGCCAATAAGACGAAGGGACGCTGCCTATAAATACCCACCAGCTCGGCCGCCAAATTCATTCACCTGAATTCTTAGCGAGTGAGTTTTCCTTGTTTGAAGGATGGCCAGAACCAAGCAGACGGCTCGGAAATCCACCGGTGGCAAAGCGCCAAGGAAGCAGCTTGCTACTAAAGCAGCTCGCAAAAGCGCTCCCGCCACCGGAGGCGTGAAAAAACCTCACCGTTACCGTCCTGGCACTGTGGCTCTCCGGGAGATCCGGCGCTACCAAAAGTCCACCGAGCTGTTGATTCGTAAACTCCCTTTTCAGCGCTTGGTGCGTGAAATTGCTCAGGACTTCAAGACCGACCTGCGTTTCCAGAGCTCGGCCGTGATGGCCCTTCAGGAGGCGAGCGAGGCTTATTTGGTGGGTCTATTTGAAGATACTAATCTCTGTGCCATCCACGCCAAGCGAGTCACCATCATGCCCAAAGACATCCAGTTGGCTCGCCGTATCCGCGGCGAGAGAGCTTAAATTGTTCGCCTGACTCGGAGGAGACTTCGCTTTATACCCCAAAGGCTCTTTTAAGAGCCACCTACGTTTTCACTTTAAAAGAGCCTGGTCATGTATACTATTTCGACTCCTGGCATCCATTTATATGTAAAGTCCCTGCAGCTATTACCGCCGTATCGGGAGCACCGAAGCACTTTAGGATAGAGTCAATTGACCGGTGACGTTATACCGGTAGCATGGCGGACGCCCATGTCCCAGTTATCCACTCGCGATCGCCCGCTTCCAATTGCTGTGTCGGCTGCACCGTCACGGGAGCTCACCGTCCCACGGGTCTAATATGAACGAGTGCCGATCGCCAGCCCAGTTTACCAACCTTGTGGGGCCACCATGTTTAGCGGTTTACTAATTGCTTCTTTCCTAAGTGACTGCCTTCTGAAGGTTGGGCAAACTCAACACGTCTACTTCGTCTTAAATTCACTACACTTGTGACGCTCTCTCATTGCCCCCGCCCTCAGGGAACTTTCTGGGGGACGCTTAGGAGAGGGAAAGCCTGAAAAGTAAAGCGCTGTATATACGGTTATGCGAGGGAGGTGCTTGTCTGAGATTTAGCATGTCACTTTTTCCGGGGTCTCAAATGAGGTCAGCCTTTTTCAAAAGAAAAAGTGGGTGGCTCTTAAAAGAGCCTTTGGAGTCGGAAGTCAAAGAAGCGCCTTTACTTCTTCTTGGCTGCCCCCTTCTTGGGCTTGGCCACCTTCGCTTTGGGAGTCTTGGGTTTGGCGGCCTTGGCCTTCACCGCCTTGGTTTTGGCAGGGCTTTTAAGCGCCTTTTTGGGTTTGGCGGGCTTGGCCTTCTTGGCCGCCTTCTTGGCCCCCGCGGCCGGCTTCTTGACGGCCTTCTTGGGGCTCTTCTTGGCGGCGGGCTTCTTGAGCGCCTTCTTGGCGGCGGCCGGCTTCTTGGCGGCGGGTTTCTTGCTCTTGACAGCCGGCTTCTTCTTGACCGGCGCCTTGTCCTTGCCTTCCTGCTGCTTCTTGTTGAGCTTGAAGGAGCCCGAGGCGCCCGTGCCCTTGGTCTGCACCAGCGTGCCTTTGCCCACCAGGCTCTTCAGCCCCAGCTTGATGCGGCTGTTGTTCTTCTCTACGTCGTAGCCGGCCGCCGCCAGGGCCTTCTTGAGCGCCGCCAGGGACACCCCGTTGCGCTCCTTCGAGGCGGCCACCGCCTTGGTCAGCAGCTCGGTGACGCTGGGCCCGGCAGCCTTGCGCGGCTTGGCGGCGACCGCGGGTTTCTTGGCCTTCTTGGCTGCTGGCGCCTTGGCTGCCGGCGCAGCGGCCGCGGGGGCTTCGGGCGCCGTCTCGGACATGGTCTCCTCGGGGCCTCTCGGCTTCCTTGCGTCTGGCGGGCTGGCGGGCTGGCGGGCGGGCACAGAGTCTCCGGGAGCCGAAAAGTAGAGTCTGAAGTGAGGCAAAGGAGCTGCCTGCTATTTATAGGGGCGGAGCTGCGCCCCGATTGGTGCGTTCGCGGGCGCCGCTCTCCGCCAGCCAGACGCGGCTGCGGCGGCTGCAACTTTGTGTTTCTTGGGTGCCCCAAAAGCGTCCCCCGAGTCGCGCCTGGGTGGCGGGGAGCGCCCGGGGCCGGTGGAAGCGGGGCGGGGGGAGCAGGCCTTTCGGGCGGTGGCGGCGCCGGCCCAGGCGAGGCGGCGGGCGGGAGAAAACCGGGCCGAAGCGGAGCGGCTCTCGGCTGCGCGCATCTCCGGCGAGGAAATGTTTGGTGTTTTCGTGTAAATTCAAGCCTTGTCTTTGGAGTGCGGGGCTGGGGAAGGGGGCCAGGCCGCTCTCGGGGGACTCCGGGCCGGCGTGGGGAGGAACGTCCCTCTCCCCGGACGGGCGTTTGGCTGGAAAAGCCGCTTGAATGATCCCAAGTAACACATTCATTCATTCACTCTGGAGTCGCAGTGAGGCTCCTTCGCTGGGGAAACTCCTCCGATTTGGGACTTTTACTTTTATTCTTTCAAAGAAGGAAAAAGGCGGTTTTGCCTTCTTTCTTTGACAGGGTCCATCGCTCTGAATGTCCGGTTCCTCGGGCCGGCCGCAGAAGTTTGCTCGTCTGTCAGACGCCATCAAGCATTGTTTGTGACAAGGAGTGGCTTCAAAAGGTTTAAGGTTTTTAAAGAGCCCCTTTCCTGCATTTCCCATTCTCCCTGCTGTTGTTTACTGAAAAAATCCTCACTTTAAATCCAAAATTCGGTGGAATGAACAATGACAGGAAGAATATATTGTGGATGGCCCCTGGATAAATGTATATTGATTCCTATAAAATTCCAATGGCATAAAATGGAGAAAGCTATCACTGGTGTTTAATAAACACGCCGTCTATGTATTCTATTCAAAGTAATTGACTATCACTCTTCAGAAACATAGTATAGTAGCAGATATCGGTCCCTAATGCTAGAAAATAATAAAAGAATAATAGAAATGCAGTTGCACTTGGGAGCGATGGTACTTTTCTGTAAAACTCTTTCAACTTACAGTGAACTTTTATTCTTTCCAGAAGTTATTTCCAGCAATCAAGCTGCTAGCTTTCTAACCACTGATAGTATTTTTAAAATGATTTCTCTGTTTCCTGTCAATACAAGGATATGTCCGTTCCATTTGGTTTAACTCTGACAGATAGGAAGTATTTCACTGATGTGTATTTTAATCCTGTCTTTTAAAATTCCTCCATTGTATAACAGTTCTGGTTTCGTTTTATATTGCTACTGGGGAATGAAACTGCATGGCATGTGTAATATGCATTCAAGATTGCCTTTCAGTTGAGTAGGTTTGATAACAATGGAAGTTGGGAGTAATTGAAAGTGGAACCAAGTCTATCAGAGTTCTTACCCTGGAAATCTTTGGAATGTGTATCCATCACCTCCAATAATTACCCTAAGGACATCCATAAGCAGTGGCCCATCTGGTCCTGCTGTCTGTTCTCACAGTGGCCAATCACGTGCAGGCAGTCCTTGACTTACAACATTTATTCATGGAAAAAAGTGACTTATGACCGTTTTTCACACATACAACCTTTGCAGCATCCAAAGGGTCACGTGACCAAAATTCAGATGCTTGGCCACTGACTCGTATTTGTGATGGCTGCAGTGCCCCAGGGTCATGTGGGGACAAGCAAAGTCAACGGGGAAGCTTAACAACCATTTTACTAACTGAACAGCTGCAGTAATTCACCTGAAACTGAGGCAAGAAAGGCTGTAAACTGGGGGGAAATTCACTTAATAACTGTCTTGCTTAGCAACAGAAATGTTGGGCTCGGTTATGATCTTAAGTCGAGAACTACCTGTACACAAGTCTCTCAGTCTCTCACTAGTCTGTCAGCAGGTGACTTTCAGAGGCAAACTTACTGCTATCTGATCCCCAGATCAGATATGATAATATGAACTCTTGGATACATGGAGAAGAGATCCAGTCAAACATATTAATAAAACTATAGAAACGGAGGAGGAACTTAAATATCTGTGGACATCAGAGTCAAAAAATCAATCCATACTTTTAATTATCAAATCAGTTATAATATCCCCCTCTCCCAACAGAGGGGGAAGGATAGGACATCATCTATTTCCAGCCTACAACACAGTCATTTCAGCAGTTCCAAGAAGGCTCCACACCCATTTGCACCACTCAGGTGACCCTTAGGACAGAGGTAAACCTCTAAGTGGCCTCAATGACTCTCTAAAAGAATACAAATGACCAGCTGTCTGCAAGGAGTATAAATCCTTCCATTCCCCACCATCCAGTCAGATTTGAAGAAGCTTCTAGGATGAGAAGTGGAACATCTTCAAAGAAAAAACAAAGTCCAGTTGCCTCTTGAAAAAGCACCTTTGGGATAGCCATGACCTGGATGACTGAAAATCTCCATAGGCAACATCCTGTCTAATACAGGTAGTCCTTGATGTACAACAATTTAGTAACCATTCAAAGTTACAAGACCACTGAAAAAAGTGGCTTATGACCATTTTTCACACCTATGACCCTTGCAGCATCCCCATGGTCATGTGATCAAAATTCAGATGCTTGGCAACTGACTCATCTTGGGGGTCCTGGGCTCATGGCATCTCCTTTTGTGACCTCAAGACAAGCAAAGTCAATGTGGAAGCCACATTTACTTAACAACCATATATTACTAAATTAACAACTGTAGTCATTCTCTTAATAATTGTGGCAAGAAAAGTCATAAAACAGGGCAAAGCTCACTTCACAAATGTCTCATTTAGCAACAGAAATTTTGGGTTTGCAAGTCAAGGACTACAGTTCACTTAGTGACCATACAAAGTTGCAGTGGCACTGAAAAAGTGACTTATGACCGTTTTCACACTTATGACCCTTGCAGCATCCCCATGGTCGTGTGATCAAAATTCAGAGGCTTGGCAACTGGTTCATACTTAGGACTGTTGCTGTGTCCCAGGATCATGTGATCTCCTTTTGTAACCTTTTGACAAGGAAAATCAAGGGGAAGCCAGGTTTCACTTAACAACCATATTAGTAACCTATCAATGGCAATGATTCACTTAACAATTGTGGTAAGAAAGGTTGTAAAATGGGGCAAAGCTCACTTAATTAACAACAGAAATTTTGGGCTCAATTGTGGTCGTAAGTCGAGGACTACCTGTACCTGTATTTCCTTTTGTTGCGCCAAGCAAAGCTACCTGCCTTCCTCTCTTCCAATTGTTGAAGGAAAACTCTTCATCAGGGTCCAGTCCAAGCTGAGAATAAACAACATGGCGACTGCTTTAGAAAGAAGGTTGCAGTTTATTGAAGAGGAGAGCCAGACAGAAAGATGGCTCTGGAAGAAAAGAGTGAGCACATGTATTAGAGAGTGGGTTTTATACCCTCTTGGGCTTTTGTTTAGAGTTGCTTCCAGTTCCTGTTTGAGGCTGTGTCATGTCATGTCACTTTGACCTGAGTCTGAGTGTGCCCCTTTGGCATCTGTGGGTTAATCCTATTATGTCCTGTCCTAGAATTTGGGTGTGGTATGTAGATTTTAGGTGTCTTTGTCTTCCTAAGCTTCTAGCTGGAGGGCTCCTACCTTCCTGAATGAATTATTACATCTGCATTTCTACAGAGCTGGTTTCTGCTTGGGGGAGAGAGACTTGGGGCTATTAAGAAAATTGGGCATGCTTTTCTGCCTCTTTAAGATCCTTTGAGAAAATATAATATTCTGCCCTTTTAATATTTCCTTTGGGGGGGCTGACTTCCCACATTATGTAGATCTTTGACTTTTAGCCTCGCATAATGGAGACTAATTCAGAAAGGATGCCATACAGGATGTGTCCCAAACCTTTGTCTACATTATTGTTGTTTAAATTCAGCCAATGCTGTTTGCATTTCAACTACAAAGATTTAAATTTGATTTCAACAAAACAGCTGTTCTTTAAAAATGCAACTTTGCACCTCATAAATACCAAGCTGCAAATGAGACTGTTCCGGTTAGTTAGGCAGAATGCAAACTATGATACCTAGATTAAACGTATTTCCCATTACAGTGGTATCTTGGCACTCATTGTCAATTGGTTTCAGGAGACGTGATGAATATCATAAAATTTTCCCCACAAGGAATAATGTAGTGAGTCACAAGGCAGCCAACACTGACAAGTTCTAGCTGGTGTGTTGAGTACCAAACAAACAATGAGTACCGGGACAAAATGTTCACCTCAAAATTCAATTAGTTTCAAAGCAGTGGAGTACCAAGGTACCACTGTATAACAATGGAGTACAGTACTGTACAAGTACCGGTAGTTCTTGACTTACAGCTGAGTGCCTAGTGACAGTTCAAAGTTACAACCTATCTACAAATGGAAAGTTATGAACTGGTTCTGAAGTTATGCTGGTCATTTCCCCACATTGTCACTTGGCTGCTCTTTGGAGACTCAGCAACATGGCCACATTTACTGCTATTTGCAGTATCCCACATTTTACAATGTTTTTGCGAAAAACTGGCACTTACTACCAGTTTTTAGCAGAAATGCACCCATAGCAAACCACGTTCACTTAATAAGTGTGGCATTCGCTTAACCTTGTGGTTTACTTGACTCTAATGTTTGTTTTTTGACCTCATTTGCTTAATAATCATTGCAAAAGGTCGTAAAATTTGGTCAGTTGTGTGATCAAACCTCTTTACAACCATCACATGACTGTAATAGGTAGGCTCCGTTATGCTCATCTCAAGGATTAACTCAAAATCACCTGGAGAAAATCCATCTTATCTCTCAACCCATCTTATTTTACAGGATTGTTGCAGAGACTATAAATAGAGACCTCCACCAAGAATACTTTTCTCTTAGTTAAGGAAAACCAAGAAAATATTGTTATTGGTTCTACTGCTGTAAATGAAGTTACGGGATTCAGTTAGAGATATCAACCCATAAGATACTTCAGTTTCTCTCCATGAC